ACTTTTCAAATTGCTCTAGCTACGTGCATTTGGGCCGAGAAGTCGACATGATGAAAGCACTAGCCTGGAATCTTAGCAGAAGTAAATGTGCAGCGTGGAGAGCCTTTACTAACATCAAGGAAGTAACAAAAAAGATAAGAACATTTCTCCACCTTACGGTCTTCCCGTTTCAACAATCCGCGAAGTTCTTTATTCATGCAAACGCAAAAGGAAATCTTTCTGTGCGTGATACGAACATCGTTAAGACATCCAGCGAGATGGCCGGACATTTTTACGAAAATTACGAACGAAAGAATGCTATGCTTCACCTCCCTATCGCAAGGACCATCTGTTGCACCTCATTGGCTCGCAACAGAGACGAGTGTAGACGTTTCTGGCGACTGCTCCAGTGAGTTGGTCAATGGAGCGATTACTGATGCAGCTGAAAGAAGAAAATAATTCATCGCTTATTTGCAAAATACCTAGCGATTCGTAATTTGGTTGGCGGAATCAGAGTTGAACCGTCACAGAGAATCTAAAAAACGGTTTCTACTACCGTAACTGTTGAAGTCTCACATGCTTTGGCATTCACCTGGAATTGTCTTTTAGAATGCAGTCCTACGCTATTCAATTTTCAATTATCCTATATTCTCCAGAAAATCGGTCATTCTCTAGGTATCGGGAGCCCTGCTCCCCCTTGATGACATTTTCAAGACAGCAACCACTTGCTTTGGGCACTTTTCAGATAAGAAGACCTTGGAATTCTTCACGTTCAGCTGGCGCACATTCTGAGCCAATAATTTCTGTCATTTAGTCAACTTATCCTGGATTCCTTTCCTATTCTTTGCTAACAGTGCGATGACATCAGCGCAGAGGATGGCTTTTAGTGGACTGTCCATTAGTTCCTTTGTGAAGGCATCCCTTGTAAGCAAGGAGAGAAGCGGCCTCATAGATGACCCTTGGTGTACCCCAACTGTAGCATTTATTTCCTTTCTTAGGCCATGAGGAGTGCGTACAGTTGTTTTATGCCGATGTCTTCGATCTGGGAGATCAGGTCTCTAAACTTACTTTCTCTGAAAGCTCTTGAGAGGACTTGTCGCGTCAAGCGTGTGAAAATTTCTTCGCATTGAGGAAGACAAGGTAGCGAAGTCCACGGCCCTCTCGATTCTCCATTACTTGTCAATTGTGAAAATGGTATCTATTATAAACCTCTGGGCATGAATTCACACTGCTTCTGTGAGATTGTGACCAGTCCCCTCAGTTTCAATCAAATAGTGGTTCGTACACCTTCATGGCATGCTACTCAGTTAATCTGCAGTTGGAGCACATAATCGCATCACTCTTCCGCTTGGAGAAGGGGGTAGTGCTCCATGTCTCAATAGATATCCCACCTGGACCAATTGTTTAATAGCATCTCCA